AAAAAACCAGAAGAAGTGAATTTTGAAAAATTAAATCAAGCACATGCCTCAATGATTCAGTGAAAAAATATACAATTCATAGAGTAGGTTTCTTGCTTCGGCTACTTGTTATCAGAATTATGAAATATCTTAACAATTATCAACCGTTTGACAGCAAATAAGCTTCTTTGACATCTTAATCTTCAGTATTCCGAAGTCCGAGTAGGTATATGTATATTGCAAAGTTGATCTGATTACAGGACTTGTTTTGCTCATCAACTGTTATGAGATCGTAATGTTACTATTTTTCAAGTATATCTACGAATACCTGGTATGCATGTATTACGCGGATGCCAATGTTTGATTAATGTTCATATGGAGAGTGTATGTAATTCAATAGTTTAATTAATTGTTAGAAAAAAATCTTCTCCATAATTATAAATTAAAAAAAAATGATTGAATCTACATTTTTTGACTTGGATGATTTTATATTTTGTCTGATACTGTTGGTTAACGAAGAACACATTTTAATCTTTTCATCATTCCTTAAATTTTAGTTGTTTTTTTGAATATGATATTGTCATTCTGAAAACGATTCTGAGAACGATTTAAAATTCATGAAAATGAGGCGAAAATAGAAAACTCATTAGTTCAGACTGATGGACTGTGAATAGCCCTGATGCTCCCTAGGTGGCTCGGGGAATTATCAACATGGCCTACCCAGGACACGAGGCTTATGACCAATGCAGTCGATGCCGATGACACCCAAAAAAAAATAACATAAATCAGATATATATTTCACTATATATTGTAGATCTATATATTGTAGATTTTAATTGGCCGATACGATAACGTATTCAAGAAACACTTCATTATGAGATTTTCACAAAACAGTTTCAGAAAAACGCAACACGAGTTTCGNTCACTATATATTGTAGATCTATATATTGTAGATTTTAATTGGCCGATACGATAACGTATTCAAGAAACACTTCATTATGAGATTTTCACAAAACAGTTTCAGAAAAACGCAACACGAGTTTCGCTATGCAATAGCTTCTTCAGGTGTGTTTTGTAAAAACAAAATTCAAGCAAAATTCATAATTACGTTTTCACGTTTGAATAACTTTCAAAAAACTAAATTCAATTATAAAACAGAGAATGATGAATATGAAAAATAAATGAGAAATATTTTTTCGATCATTACAAAACGTGTAGGTAGTAGGTACATATAAAACATATAAAACATTTTCAATGCATTTTTTCAGGTGCTGAAACTTTTATATTTTTGTTGCCAATGCCAATTTTTCTTTTTAATCTTACTTTGGTAAGTTTCTTCTATAATTTAATCTATTCATTCGACTAAAATACGAGGAAACTTTCGTTTCTACCAGTTAGTCAAATGAACTTTACATTTATTCGTACCCAATTCTTACAAAATCATTATTTGGCCTCTTGTATCTGAGAATAAATCGCGTAATTCGCTGGCTCTTATGATATTAAAACATATCCTAATCAAGTTACTTCGTGTACAGTGCAATCAGGTTTTCAAACATTTGTGTGTATGTGCTATCATGAATATGATACCCATTTCAAAACTACCATGAATATATATTGAAACGTTAAAAGCAGAGAGGTTGGTGAAAGAATATCAGTTCAATAACTCCATACTTACTTCTCTTATAACACTCATGATATATTTATAGGTAAGGTTCACGTTTCAATTTGTGCAATATTTATAGTTATTGGGTATCTTGGGAATATAAAATTGGTTATATCATCCCCTATTTGCCTGAGCGACATGGGTTGTATGCTAGTCTCAACAGCTGTTTCTCCTTTTTATTCCAACATTTAATTGACATTCGACTCCAAATGATGTTTATTACCTTCTTTATAGCGAGACTTTACGATGCGATTCATTAACTAATATAGGCGTTTCCTATTCAATTTATTATTTATCTACATAATTTTATATATTTTCAAATTATCACATTACTCAATCAATATAAATTACAATCATCATCAACTTTGCCACTTCAATGTTTGTCGTTTAGAGAAATTTGGATGTGAAAATATGTACAGGTATACATAGATGCAACCGGAAGGTCCACCAAGGGCACGTTTCACACTTTAATTTATATATACTCCTGATTTCTAGAATTTGTATGATTTGTCTTTATAATTTTTAACTAACTTTACCAACGTATTACTTGTTCTATATGCAATTTTAATATCTCGTTTCCTCAAAAATGAAGCCACTTTTTTCTGTAGTATATAAATACCTATATACAGTATATAAATACCTCTATTGTATGAATATTAGTGTAAGAAACAACTTGAAGTATTCAAATCACTTGATAAAGGCTACTGTGTGTGCTAGCGATACATGTTGTGTTGTTTTTGAAATTATTATAGATCTTCATCAAGTAACAGCCGAATCAATCAGAAAAAAAAAAAAAATAGTAGGTACGTGCTCTGCTATCAGAGTCAACTTTTTCTTGTTAAAAATAATTCATTTCGAAATTCACGGACTATGGTATATTTTCCTCAACCTAGTCAGGACCCGATCGGCGACTACCTTCGTTAAATAAGTAGGCAATAAAAATGAAGGCTTGGGAAGTACCTACATAGGTCTCCTCTGACGCATTTCAGGGAGACGCCGTCCAATGGCTATATGTTGTAAGTATAAGTATATAAAGTTGTAACTTTATGAATGAACTGAGTGCTTCATCTTATGATGTTTTCCAGACTGATGCTGAAGAGGCAATGACGTAAGTGTCTTATATTCCGAAACATCGGATGTTCTCAATTGAGAATGACAGTGTTAAATTTCATCTCTTTCATATACTATATTGTGTAGCAGTCCTGGGAATAATATCTGATTCAATTCCATAACAAATGTTTGGATTACATACAAGTTGAATAGAAAAAAAAGTCTCGTTTAATTTAATATTCATACAGAAGTAACTGTTCCGAAAGTATTGTTTTTCTTGCAATTCAAAGGTTATATGAAAGTAGTTATTTCGAGGGGGCTTTTTCTCCCACAGTTTATTTCTGAAAGTTATTTCTTTGCGTGAACTGCACATCTTCGTGTATAGGTAGAGTTTATTTTGAAATGAATTACTCTCTTCCTTTCTCTAGAAGATTCCCACATTTTTTTGTACGAAGATGGAGAAGTACAAAGCTATATTCTTTCCCAAAAATTGATAATATATATGAAAGGAACAAATATTCACTGAATTTTTTTACAGTAGAAGTCACATTTTCAAAAAATTCAGCTTCAAATTATGGATTGATTAATAATTTGTCCATTAGGCCGAATGACAGTCACTTTTCACCTCTTTATTACGGGGTGACTTATTGACCTTTACCAAATTCAGTCACCGACATGGTCAATTTTATCTATCTATATTAGGTATTTGTTAATATATTAACAGAGATTAATAAAAATAGAAAACTCGGATTCTACCAACTAGGTATTTCAGTTCGAGTTCAATGGAAGGGAATTTCATTATATCTTAACTGATCTAATCTCTACAAACTAACATCACAAGGATGAAAGATTAGTTAGTTTGTAATGAATAAACTCAAAAAACTACTTAATCAACTTATTTTAGAAAATCTTTCATGTGTAGAAACCTATAGGTAGGTACTTCATTAGCAAGTGAAATGGGTTGTGGTTTAATGAAAAAACTAGAGATCCCTGCAATAATTACCATCATGTAAACCCATGGTGTCACTAATGAACTAACTAGTCAATAATTCGACTTCTACAAAAAAATGAAAGTTTCGAGTACAGAAATACACGAAAAGAATAAAAATTTCAAAAGTCATTGAAAAATCTCCTTATTAAAATTATATTCCCTCAAATTCAAGCCAAAAAGGGGACACCAATTGAACTGATTACTTTTGAATGATTAAAATTAAATTTTACAGAAATCACTTTATCCTTCTTACTCTTCACATGGAATTGGCCGAAACCTACTTGATGAAAACCAACAACGTATGCAAGTTACACTTCATTGTGACATTTTCATTGGATAATATACCTACATAACCTCAACAGCTTTCCCAGGTGCTTTATTTCTTTATTTGAATCCAATGACTATTGAACTTATTGAAAATCAACACATCGGAAAAATTAATCGCATACAAATTCAATAAAAGAACATGTGATAAAATAATTACCACTTCACACATTAGAAAACATATTTTGAAGGGTGAATACAATTGAATTATTCTTGGTCATTCAGTAACTTTTCAGAGTTCCTAAATCTATTACTTCACAAGCATTACAAAATATTAACTTTCAAAACTTTTTTTCCAAGTGTAATACTTCATAGTCGTGGTTAAACTCATACATACACGACTGAAGAAGCCATTGTATATAGAAACACGTGTTGCGTTTTTGTTAACGTGTGTTTAGTAAAAATCTCACAATAAAGTGTTTCTTGAATATGGAATTTATAATTCAAATAAATATACAGATACCTACCAACAAAATTCACGATACGCCCTAATTGAATTCAAAACAAAATTCGGTAGATCAAAATCAGAAATAAATAACTGGTAGGTAACTCCTAATGTCCATATAGCTTTGAGATACCATATTTTGAGCTTTGAAATATCATATTTATTAAGGAAGTAGCTTTGCCTTTTGTATCTTGTATAATATATATCTCATGTACATTAGATTATCTGCAGATACAGTTCAGATAAATAGGTACATCAATCTCATTGAAAAGAAAAGTTACCCGCATCACCTTCCAACAGACACCATGCAGCGTTACCAAATATTACCGGTGAATACAAAACAAACATCGCATCAGAGTCCTACAAATGTCAGCAAACAACTTAATTCGTCAGATACCCCTACCCACAACATAGGAGGTAGTTAGGGTTGACGTAGGAGGAGCTTCAATGCCCGCTTGATTTCTATTGGTGTAACGTTATTGGTGCCCTTCTCTATGTTATTTATATCGTTGCCAAACACAAACTGGTTTCAGTTGATCAGTCTTCATTCAGTCTTGAGTTGAGTTTGTTGTAGTAAAGCTCTCATAGTGTTAATAACTACAAATATTTTAAAAATTGTTTGGAACTAAACCAGTGGGTGAAAAACTTTAGTTTTGAAACTGGAACATAAATATGGTGAAAAGCGAAACAGTGTTAATTCTACCTAAGATGGCTCGTACTCCCTTGAAGTCATCATTCTCCATTAGCTCTATTCTCCCGGAAACTGCGATGGACGTGCCAAAATGTCCTGAAGATTCATCGAGTTCTATCCAGGTCTTAGAACCAGAAATGAGTGACTCTGATTGTGATTTGGATGTTACCGGAGACGATGATATACCCCCTTTAGACTGTACCAAATCGTCGGAGGATAGAAAAACTGAGGAGGATAAAAAATCTAAGGAGAAACCAACATATAGCTACAACTCTCTTATTATGATGGCTATACGAAATAGTCCTGAGAAACGATTAACTCTGAATGGTATTTATGAATATATCATGCGCAATTTTCCGTACTATAGGGAAAACAAACAAGGATGGCAAAATTCAATCCGGCATAACCTCAGTTTGAATAAATGTTTTGTGAAAGTTCCTCGTCACTACGATGATCCCGGCAAAGGAAATTATTGGATGGTGGATCCATCCGCTGAAGATGTTTTTATTGGCGGGACAACTGGTAAGCTTCGCCGTCGCTCTACAGCTGCTTCCAGGTCACGCTTAGCTGCATTTAAACGTACCTTGTCAATGTATTCACCGATGCAACCAATGTATCCAGCATTTTATCCTCCATCTCAGGCGATTTTAGCGGCGGCTTACCAAAGGTATAATCCTTATATGAATCCTGGAATGCCCGCTGTGTTGAGACCGTCTCCAGTCCAGGCACAGCCTCCTCCGTCTTTCAATATTGAGAGATTGTTGGCGACAGCTCCTGGTATGGATCTTGGTGCACCTTTCTTCAGACAACCAATGGACTTATACAGTAACTTCAGATTACATCATCCTCATCCTATGATGACACATCAGGTACCGTTGTCACCTTCGAGTACTTCTAGTTCACCAGAACCTCTTACAAACCCCGATATCGTATATAAACCAGTTGCGGTATTATCAAGGCATCAAAGCTGACTTTTCAAATCCTAGTAGATAACTTTCAATAATTTATTTGTACATAAATCCCTGTAAATAATAGGTAGACCAAGTTCTTTTATGTTTGAATCTTTGTGAAATATTTGATCTCATTCGAAAAGATCCGAAAATCCCAATAAGCTTTAAATAATTTTTAACTGCCTATGGTTAATATTTCTCCCAATTCTGTGTATTGTGAATAGTGTATATATTATATTCGTGAATATTGTGATGTTAGAATTAAGAGAATAATTGTTCAGTACTGAAATAGTTAATATATATTTGAAAAATAAATCGTAGGATTTTAAATTCGTTTTTTTTTATTTCATGAACATTGAAGTTGAGTTTAGAATAATATCTTTTCAGTCTATTTGGAAAGGTGATTTGTACTAGGGCAATAAAACTTGGGTTTCTCAGAAGGGGAAACGAAAACCACTTCGTGGTCTGATCTTTTGATTTGTACCATAAAGTATATGACTCTTTTCTTTTGGAACTGTTTGAAATTTTGAAAATTGAGGTTAAAGTCCTCATAATGTTCACAGAGAAAAGAATTTATTGCTGACATTTTTTTTATGTGTCCTTCACATTTTGAAGTGAAGAAAAAGTATTATACCTACCTACCTATAAAAATTATATCATTTTAGCAAACATTCATTACATGAATTAGGTATACTAAATATGAAAATTTGCCTTTATATTCATATTCAATATTACCCAGAAGTTTTTACAAGAAATGTTACTGTATATGCATTTCAATGAAATTGGGGAGAAATATATGCAAATTATCAGTAGCAGTTCTTAAGAATTTTGTGGAAATATGTTTCACAACAAAAAAATCATCTATATGGATGATCAATTGACTAACTGCTTTTTGTATCCACATCCAGTTTCCTGACTTCTCATTTTATTTTGCAACTTCATTTACAATTAGGTAATGTATTTTATATATAAAGACAGTTTAAATACTCAAAATGTTCAATTATAGGAAGTAACAGGTATATTTGTGATGTTTTGGATTACCTAGATAGATAACACTTACTTATCTTCTTTTGAAATCATAAATAACCGAATCAGCCTATAAGATTTCCATGACAAATATTTGAAGTACAAACTGAACACGTATATTCAAGAAACATTTTGTTGTAAGATTTTCACTAAACAGTTTTACACAAACGCGACATGTGTGTATACGCCTGAAGAAGCTATCCTACAGCGAAAGACGTGTTGCGTTTTTAAAAAAATGTTTAGTGAAAATCTCACAATAGAGATTTTTTTGAATTCACGTGATCAGTTTGTGGTTCGAATATTTGTTATAAAATTGAATTAGATATTATTCACAGGGTCGCTACACAATATAATAGATATGTGAAAAAGTATAAAATTTCACTTGAATGAAAATCTTTCATCTTCATGATAAAATTTTCGAAAAAGTTTGCTGATGTTAAAAGACCGGTTTTCTGCACAAAACTTCAAGAAGTACACCATGAGTATGATAGATCCGCGTGTATAAGTGAAACTTGATATTAATATTCTTTCTTATAGTACGTTATGTAGTAGGTATTCCTGTGATTGATTTCTTTTTCAATTCCGTAGTACCTATGCTAACTGAATAGGAAAAAGTTATTTTCATGTATAGGTGACTCAATATTCATATGTGAATGGATGGGCTTTTAATTCCAATTTGTAGGTATATTTGAGATAAACTTCTCTTCATGATGAAAACATCTTTGGAAAAAGTTTATTCCGAAAAGTATTCCACCTTTTTGGTAAAATATTAATTGAAGTTTTTTGAATCATTTTAGTGAATTTGTAGGTAGGTATGCTAGTACGGAATTGTCAGTTATAGGTTTTGCAGTTGAAAGAGGTCTTATATTTTCTGATATGTTAAAGTCAGATTTTGATAATTTTTGCACACACAGTGTTCTCGTTTTGAGACTGAAATATTCATCAGTCGACGTATGAAAGGAAGTAAATAGTTATATAGTGTTTCAGGAAAATGCACAGAGTAGGTATAAACGAACAGTTTGTTATATGTACAAACGGTTTTCTTCTTTTATTCATACATTTTCTATAGATATATTGAGTTTCTATCATAAATATTTGGAAAGTGTATAAAAAACTAAATATAATTCCTCCCACAAAATCAATAATGAGTTGGAATGAATGCACATCTATCTATAATTTTCGTCTAATAAGTTGGACATCCGTTGAAGATGTTTGAAAATAAACCAAAACAAAGCAAATCTGATGCAAGTTATATACGTACCATTAGATGATTTTTTCAGTAATGTATATACAGAAATTGAATAAAATGCTAAACAAATTATACCTACTTTAAAGTTAGGTATAAGGAAAGAAACTTTCAGTTAAGAAATTATATCTTTTTCAAACTTCACAAGTATACCTATGTACAACGAAATATACTTCATTATCAAGTCTACACTATGTGCAATACAGGCATTTCTTTTTTATTATATATATTTTCTATTTTCCACAGAAATTGTGGATGGAATGACTGGAATTCAATTACATAATACCTACCATATCATAACTGAACTTTGCGTCCTCAAAAAAAAGATTGAGATTTTACCTTTGATTTCCAAATAACAGACCCCTTTTTATGAAAATTAAATGAATTTTACATTATATTGATGCCATCAACTATAGAGGTTAGTTTACTTTCGAGTTTTTCAAAATATTTTGCTTCCTATCGGAATATTTTGATCAAACTTCATATTTTAATATATACAGTGTCATCCCCAAAGTATGCACCATATGGAATACTTCTTTATTAAGGGTTTTTCGACAAAAAGTTATTGCTGCTAAAAGTTTGTGCATCTCCTAAAACTGAACATGCATCCATAAAATACAGTGAAACACACGTAATATACGAGGAGCCTTCAAATATTTGATTTTGAGAGAAGAGTAAAGTAGGTACTCTTATTTTGGGAAGTCTCGGAAAATGTTATTCAGAAAAGTTGTTCAGCATTGAAAAATACATCTATATTTCAGGTCATGGTCATGAATGGAATTTTATTTTTTTACCCTTTTTTTTTAATGGGGACTACGAAAACAAAAATTTGCTAAAACGAAAAATAGACAGCATCCTATATAGGTACGACGTTTTATTTCTAGAGCCTGCAATATTACAAATTACACAACTATGGCGTTAACCACGGTCAATTTTTTAGTAAGCTTTTTTCCATTAATGAGTTGAATTCGTTTGGGGTTTTACCTTTCAGTAGCTGAAAAATGTATGATTTCAGATCGATAAAAAATCTGCGCAAGTGTTTGTAATAGAAAGCAAACTGTTCACTTCCAGGAATAATTAGTTACTACTGCGTAATATGAACTATTGCAGCATTTTTTTCTATCAATTTCCGTGGTTCGTAGAAGAATAAGTTGATGAAAAATTGAAATTTCCTTTAAGAAATGTACCTATTTCAAAAAAGCCTAGATGGGAGTACTTTTTGTGTGCAAAGCAGAGTAATATCAAAATTAAAAATGTGTATGCTGTGTCCTTGTTTCTCTCAGTTATGGATAAAATGCCATTTCAACTGAGGGTGTCTTTCCTAACTGTTGAAAGAACGTTGGCATTCTTTTTTCAGCTAACTACAACTCTCCTTCGTATTTCCCTGACGTGAGGCCTATCTTATATCTCGAAAGAATAGTTGAGATGATCATGAAGGACTAAATTTGTGGCTTCATCGTTTTGAGGTTCAACTCGGTACACCTCGAACTTCACTGTATAAGAACTCTTTCATTTGGAGGACGGCATCTTCCTGAGAACGTTTTTCCAAATGGATTTATCCTACAGTGATTCAAATCCAATGTGAATTGGATTTGAATCCAATCGCTCTAAGAGTGCCTCAAGGAATTTCGTTGTGCTTGTGTTTTGTCGTTAAAAAAAATTCCACATCATTAATGAAAAAACTTGAGGCTTTCTCGTAAATTAATAGCTTTTCCACAAAAAACAGGTCGTTTCTGGTTTTCCATGTACCCTAAGCCGAGGCAAATATCCAAAAATGACAGCCATTGGGATTCGAGAGTTTAGAGAGAGCATCATTCCACCAAGAACTCCAATAATCAGAACAATCGTTTCAACAGAGTGGTCTGGATAGAGTATATGGAGTACGAAGAGAAAATATTGGCATTTTGTCCGTTGTTCCATCTCTTTTTGAACGATATTCGTCTCAGCGGTAGCTAACAAGTCCATGACGAATATCGTCTTACTCTGATGGTCGAGAAGAACAACATCAGACTTATCAGCTCACATGAACCTAAGGATGAGGATTATGTTGTTTTTCCGAAGAGAATTTTTAAATATTTTTTCTGTGATATACATCTAATTTTTTCAAATGTGATGTTGCTACTCTGCCCCAGTCTACTATTCCATGTGCAAGACGAGAACTCATAATTGCATGATGAATCATTTTTATTCGCGAGGTATCTATAGTATATTTCGTATAAAGTGACAGCCATCTTGATTTCGGACAGGTTGGAGTCTAGCTCCTTTACCCTTTTGACTGATGTTTATTCGTATAAAGTGTGCTCCTCAAAGTAAAGAACTGAATACTAAAATAAACTGTAACAAAATACTCGTATAATAAACATATCTTCAAGATTGATTTCATTTCATTAATAATTGAAACATTTATTTTCGAAATATTTCTGAAAAGATCGCTTCACAATTTCTAAGATTTTACTCAAACCTGAACAGATTCTTATTCACATTTGTTCCTATTCGACAAAATATTGAACAAAAAGAAATTGCAGTTGGCCCCTGATGATGAATCCGCTTGCTTGTTTGACCCCTCTCTTGTAACCAAGTGTTGTCTATCCTTTACACTTGGCTGTACCGTATTGACGAAGGCTAAATAGCCAGAAACACGTGTCTGCGGTTTGCTCAAAACTTGAGTAGAACTTTGAAGACGATTGTGGATACCAACAATCGAAACGTCGTGGGGTAACTTGGTTTGGAATCATTTAATTTTTAATTTCCATTTCTTGTTGATAATTTTTTAATTTTCATTTCATTGTAATTTCAGTTTTTTTGCTTATTATAATTGTTATTTTTCAGCTTATCCTTTTTACAAATTTTTTCAGGTATTTCAAATCAATTTATATCATAGTGGACAATGGCAGTCCGAACTAATGAAATGCACCACGAAACATTGTCAACCACCTTCAAATATATCACAAGACCTTCTTTATTCCACTCGAGAAAGAAGTTCATAGCTGTCATTCTCTCTCTCTCTCTCTCTCTCTCTCTATTTCTTTCCGCAATGTGATGCCACACCATTGATTATTGTT